GTTGGCGGGAGCTGGGACAAAGCAACGGGAGCTCACTCCGTTGCGTGGATTCGATCTTACGACTGCTTGGTCTTCTGACCCTGCAGCACGGGCTTCTGCGGTTTAGCCCGCAGCGCCACCACGTCCCTTCCGAATAGTCAAAGCTATGGTTTTTCCAGTAGTTATGTATGGAAGTGAGAGCTAAACCATAAAGAAGCCTGACTGCCGAAGAATTGATGGTTTTGAATTGTGGTGCAGGAGGAGACTCTTGAGAGTCCCCTGGACTGCAAAGAGAACAAACCTATCCATTCTAAAGGAAATCAACCCTGAATGATCACTAGAAGGAGAGATCGTGAAGCTGAGGCTCCAGTACTTTGGCCATCTCATGAGAAGAGAAGACTCCCTGGAAAAGACCCTGATAGGAAAGTGTGAAGGAAAGAGGAGAAGGGCATGACAGAGGATGAGCTGGTTGGAGAGTGACACTGAAGCTACCAACATGAATTTGACCCAACTCTGGGAGACAGTGGAAGATAGGAGGGCCTGGCATGCTCTGGTCCATGGGGTCATGAAGAGTCGAACACGACTAAACAACAACGTGTCAGGCTATTCATCCATCTAGCTCATAGTGTTGTCATGGACTGGTCTGGGCTCCTAAGGTATTCAGGCAAGGTTTCCCCAGACCTACCCAGAGATACCAGACATTAAATCTGGGACCACATGTATGCAAAGCAGGCAGCCTAACACTGCATCCCTTTCCCAGCATACTTAGAGGAATTGGTAAACATTTGATAAACTGATTAATGTGACTGATTCTCCAGAGAGATTTGCCCATATCTTTATGCTATATTTTTTAACAGTTGCTTTGTAGCAGAAGATAGGTGTGCAAAGACACACAAGTGGTGGAATGCCTGAAGTCTGAGTAGCTCTCGTCACAGAAGTCTTTCTGCATTAACATAGCCCTGTTGAAATGCAGGCTTTCCCCTCCAACAAACTACAGTGAAGTAGCTTACTGAAGAGAAGGCCACACTAGAGAAGCTAAACATCTTCATAAATATAAGGGCAGGAGAAAGGGTGAAGTGGGAGGGGAAGGAAGGGGAAGGAAAGCTTTCTGACTTACTGAAAAAAATGATGGAAGCCACAAAACCATGAATTTCCTCTCAATCTGAACCAGCTGTGATGCTGGACTTTGTTCTGCTTTGTAAGTTTTGGAGGCTTGTGTCTGCAATTCATACACTGTTTAGCACTTTTTGGTACTAAAAAAATGTATTTTCTAAAAAAAAAGTTGTTGCAGTCAGCTGCAGCAGAAGTGCTGATACTATTTAATTGGAAAAGATAGTGATTAGAGATGGGCACAAACTGCCAATTCGGTGGTTCGTGCCAATTTCGGCCAAACAGGTGTTTGGGGTTTCCCAACCCTGCCTCTTCTGGCAGGCACCCGCTCAGAGGCGGCTACATTTTCGTATTAGAAGAGGTAGCCATGTTAGTCTGTTATATTTTCGTATTAGAAGAGGTAGCCGTGTTAGTCTGTGCTAGCATATCAGGCAAAATCAAAACAAAATTAAAACAATTATTTAACAACAACAACAATAAAAGTATATAATATTGTGCACACAAAGGCTAAACAACTGACATAAAGGGAATATCAAACACTGCAGAAAACCTTAAAATCAAAATTGGTGAAAATACAATCAAAGCCATAAACACATGGGCAGTTCCAGTACTTAGACACCCAGCTGAAATAATGGATTGGACTCACAACAAATTAGAAGAATTGAATCGGGGAAAAACACGGAAATTAATGAACATGCATCCCGCACTACATTCAAAAAGTGATGTGGACAGATTATCTTAACCATGAAAAATTGGAGGCCGTGAATTACTGCAAGTACAACAGGTAGTAGAGGAAGAAAAAGAAGCCTGAATGATTATATCAGTACAAGCAGAGAAAAATTACTTAAGGCAGTGAAAATTGAGACTATTTGGAAAACAACAGAAACAAAGGCTCAATATAAGAAACAACAATTTGAAAATAAATTAAACAGCTGGAAATGTAAACCACTATGTGGACAACACCTGAGAAATATTGATGGAAAACATGATAAAAATTCAACATGCATACAGCTAAAACTGGGGACCATTAAGAAAGAAACCAAAGGTTTGATTTTTGCTGCACAAGAACAACCATTCAAAACCAATGTGATGAAAGCTAAGATTCAAGGATTTAGTGCCAATAGCAAATGTCGACTCTACCAAGAAAGAGTCAAAACTGTGTCACATCTCATCTGTGAATGTCCAAAGATTGGACAAACGAATTACAAAATTAGACATGATTGAGTGGCAAAAATAGTGCACTGGTCATAATGCTAAAATTATAACTTGCCAGCCTCCAAAAACCCATGGGAACATCAAGTAGAGAAGGTGTCAGGAAATGAGGAAATCAAGATCTCATGGGATTTTCTGCTCCAAATAGATAGACACCATGAGCATAACACACAAGACATACTGTAGTAGCAATAGAATGAAGAAATGTCTGGAGTAGCAGTAGAATGAAGAAATGTCTCGATCGTTGACATCGCAATTCTGGGGTATGCTAGAGTTGAAAATAAAGAATTGGAAAACAAAGAACAGAACCTGGCAATCGAAACATCTTGCTTATGGATGAAACATACTTCAGTGGTCCCCATAGTCACTATGGGAACAATATCAAGAAATTTCACACAGTATTATAAGCAGTTGCAGATCTCAGAAATCACCCCATCAGGGCTACGAAAAATGGCAATACTGTATTAGGAATAGCATAATACTTTGCCGAAATCTAACAGATATTTACGGTTTTTGGTAAAACTTGTATCTGTTATATAATACAAG